TGGTTTAAGAATGGACGTCATACGCTGTGTACACTTTATATTCAGTTCCTCTGTATTACAAGGAAACTCAAAAGTAGCCTGGACAAAACCTTGCTTGTGGCCTTGAAAAAAAATCGAAAGTAGTGAGCAAGTATGGTGTCATATCATGACATGTTTTTTTTAACTTGTGGTTCTGTGAGAAAGCGAGGCCTGCTGGGTTAGAGAGTACATCAACCTGTCTAGTACCGCAGAATAAAACATTCAAGTCTTCGAATTCTGCCACAGTGAACTGGAGCAAACAGAGTCACACAGACAAGGGTAAACAGTCAGGATTACCCAAGTCCGCATTACACACCACCTCGAACACACATTATCTGAAGACCTGCAACAAGTTCAGAAGTCTGCCGTTGAAGGAGAAGTATGAAGTCATGAAGAACAGCATCTGCTACCGTTGTGGACACAACAATTGTAAGGCGGGTAGACCTCCGTATGACTCCAACTCGTGCCAGTTTGTGTCTCCATGCCGTGTCCAGACTTGCGGTAGTGATTTACACTTTTCAGCCATCTGTCCTGTTTTTTACGGTGAGAAGGGAAATAATACTCCGAGCAAGTTGAGTAGACGTGCAGAACCCTTTCGCCCTACGAGCAGCTCTGTGAATGTGGCAACAGTCACCGCCAATGATCCAGCTAAATTACGTGGCATCTTACCGACTGTCATGGGATACCTCCGTCAAGGAAACACTCGTCACCTGGTGCGTATCCTACTGGATGGAAGCAGCCAAGCTACCCTGCTGAGAAAGGGATCTTCCCAAAATCCGAGCGAGATCTCTACCAGGATCATGACCTGAGTCTTGTCGGCGGGAACAAAATAACAAGAAAGTTGAGACTTTTGGATTGCCACATTGAAGACGTTGAAGGAAGATGGTCGTCTCCTTTAACAGTCACAGAGATTAACGAGCCTTGTGGTGATGCTCCAGTCATTCTATCAGATCAGCTACGACAGTATGAGCATTTGAGTCAGGTCCACATTCATGTTGATCCATCGCAGACTATCGATTTACTCCTGGGTGTTGATAACACACATCTGATGATCTGGGAGGACTACATCTGTGGTGAGAAATTCGATGAACCTGCAGCAGTCAGATGCCCTTTGGGTTGGTTCATCCAGGGAGGACGATCTACAAGTTCAGCTACATTGGTCAACTATGTTGACGTGTCAGCCATCGGCCCATTAGAGGAGTTCCTCGGCCTAGAGGCGGTGGGATTGGAACCTAAGAGATGTAGATGTTCTGCCGATCTCATTGACAAGACCGCAGAGTGTCACTCAACTGCCCGACGGGTCCTATGAAATTCGACTGCCGTGGAAGAGATCACCAGATGACCTGCCTGACAACTACGACTATGCTGTCAAGAGGTTGAGGAGTCTAGAAAATCAATTCAGCAACAGACCTGAGGAATGGGAAACGTACTGCCAACAAATGAGAGACCAGTTGAACAGAGGTGTCTCTCTGCATGTCACAGAAGAGGAGCCGCAACGAGACAGAGATACTGGCAAGAAGATGTGGTTCCTGCCCCATTTTGCTGTCACCAAAGACTCAAAGACTACTCCGGTCAGAGTAGTATACGATGCGAAAGCAAGGTATCAGGGCCACTCGCTGAACGATTATCTCATGAAGGGTGAGAATAATTATAAACTCTGATTTGTTTGAGGTTGCTTTGCGGTTCCAAAAGCGAGGTTGGTCTCATCGCTGACATAAGCAAGATGTTCCAAGCCATCAAGATCGAACCTGATGATGCCCGCTGTCACAGATTTGTATTTGTCGAGAGCCCTGGTCAACCCGTCCAGGTGTATGAGCTGACGACGGTTACCTTTGGGGACAAGCCGTCTCCAACTGCTGCCATTGTGACCTTGAGACATGTGGTAGCTGAGCACGCTGCGGGTGATGAGCAGCTGAACAGAGTGGTTGCTGACCAGTTCTACATGGACGATTTGAACGAATCTGTTGTCAATACCGAAGAAGCTCTGCAGCTCAAGTTAAAGCTCACTGAGACTTTTTGGGCCTTCAGAATCAAACTTTGACTTCGAACTCAGCAGTAGTTTTCATGCCAGTTTTTCTGTGTTCGTTTGTTAGCTTTGGCTTAGCTAGTTAGCTTGTGACATTCCGTCACGTTTAGGGGAATGGGATGTCATATCATGACATGTTTGTTGTTTTTTTTACCTCAAGTGAGGGCGCTATATTTAGTTGTGGTACTCGTACTCGAGTACTACTCGAGTACTTTTTTTGGAGTACTCGTACTCGTACTCGTACTTGAATGTCAAAGTATTCGTACTCGAAAGGACGGTACTCGTACTCGGGCAGCAAAGTACTCATACTCAACATGTCCAAATTGTACTCGATCATTAAAATACTCGTACTCGAATAGCAGTACTCGGGGGGAAAGAATGTTATAGCTTCACTTACCATGGCCTTATTTTATTGATACTTTCAGTTTGAAATGGTTGATTGGGTTGTGGAGAAACCGAGATTTCCTGATTTTCCTCTGTTCAAGTCCGGACAAACACATTTAACAGCTAGCCGTGAGTGGGTCTGTATATCGGTCTGACTGGGCCTGGGCCAATAACGCACAATGAACCATTTGCCGTATGGCCGTATTCGGAAATGGGAGTACTCGTACTCGTACTCAGAAGTACAAGTACTCGTACTCGTACTCGGAAGTACAAATACTCGTACTCGGAGACCCGTTCTTGTACTCGGAGGTACAAGCACTCGTACTCGTACTCGGCAACCTAAGTACTCGGCAGTACTCGGTACTCGGCATTCAGCTGTTCAGCAGAATAAAGCAAGTCAAATAACACCAACTCCCAGTAGCGGTCAAACTGCTTCGCAATGTTGTTTCTGTTTCCTTTTGATTGAAGACAAGGAAGACCAAGATGAGAAGTCGGAGATGTGGGAATCGCTGTGGATCCTATTGAACATTTATAAATGGAAGCAACATCCATGCTGAAAGCCAAAATCAGAGACCATCACAGTCTATTCAAAGAGGTTTTTCCAAACATTTTACTCACTCAAAAGAAACACTATTAATTGGCGCACTGTCCTAGTGTGATCCAAATGTTAGGTCCACTCTCACCCTATTCGTCAATGATTTGAGGGAAAGCACAAACTCTCAAAACCGTCGCAAAAAGCCAACATTGAAAAGATAGTGGCTAAGAAAATCAGATCGGCCAAAGCCACAATTTCCCAGGGGGACTGGGGTATTCATCCAAGAGTTAGTTCCAGAATCCAGCCTGAAAGATACAGAAGACATACGCTGCCATCAGTACACGTTCCAAAGGTGTGGCAACTATAGTAGGTGCGGCGATTAAATGTCAACAAACCCCCTGCCACAGATTGTAATGGTGGAGGACATGCTGAGAGACCATGGCTAACAACAAGCCGCAGATGCGCTCTTTGAACCACCATCTGTTTGTTACGCTTCGTTAGATAAGATTGACAAGCTCGTGAAGCTTTACAGAAGACACTCCGGGGAAAAAGTCAGAGGGATCTTCATTAAAGTTGAGATAGATCAATCTCCCAGCACATATGAGATTCCGTTTGCAGATAAAGTCTACTTGGTAGCCTGTGTTGTTTTTTGCTCCTTTGGCTAGAGCATAAGGTTCTGGTAGCAGAAGACATCATGATTGAGATGATTGAATGTGACAAAAAGTAACTTGGTACATATCAATCACCCATTTCAGACTGTGATGTACACAAAGCCTCGTTTAAGAATCTTACATTTCTTGGCTTATTATAATCTGATAAAAGAATATCTCCAACACATTTTTCTACATTGTTTTCGAATTCATAAAAAAACACGGTCATTAATTTGTTTTCTATTTAAAATACAAATTGGAAAATTGGAACAAAATAAATGTTAAAGAAGGGTTTTCTGGTGTGAAGGCTTTCTTTTTTCCCCAGAGTGTTTCTTCATAGCAAAGAGCTGCAGTGTTTCATTTGACGAATGTTGATCACTAGACCTGCTTCATTATTTTCTTCTTTGTTTTTAATTGATTACAGCCTTCAGTCACATGCAGGTAGAGCATGTGTCGAAACTTCAGTAGACAGCAGTGAGGATAAAATGGAGTTACGTACCTGCTGGACGCACTGATCTCTTTATAAAGACTTGATAGCGTACGCCAACACACCGTACATTTACATACATGTATTTCGCTTTTTGAACATGTCGCCCCAGTCTTCCAAAACTGGCCGCTGTCATACAATCATTCTACGTATACATGCAGTGCACACTGTATGAAGACCTGACACGCATTCGGTTCATGTACATGATGTTGTAAATATTATATTTCCAAACGTTGCAAAAAGTGAACTGTGGCATTCAAATCACAACTGCCTAAGACGGCAACTTGTCCTTTATAGAACGCCAACCAGTCTCCCCTATTTCGCTTCAAATAGCTTTCGTCTTCGGTTTTCTGTACGCTATTCAGTCTTTATATAGAGATCAGTGGCTGGACTCAATGCCTGTTTGCCTCATAAAACAGACGTTGGCATAAGGATGATTGGAAATCTTACACAAGGTTTGATTTGCCGCCATTTTCACTATTTTGGTTCATGCCAGAAGCAACTAAGTTAACATCCTATCTTTAGTTGATGGTGACATATTTAACAATTGTTGACTGCTGTGATGTGGGATATGACATTTTTAACACCTGAGGCAAAGCACCCGAGGCAAAGCACCCAAGGCAAAGCAGACAGTGCTATGCGGCCGGGGGGGGGGGGGGGGGTAAAAACACCATACAGCAGTCAAAACGATAAAGTTTTGTAACTTACACTGCAAGAAATATATTAAAACATTGCAGTGTAACCTTTGATAACTGTACGCTTTCCTGCCAGACATGAGACTGAGCGGTTGCAGTTCTCAGTCACGAGGCATGCGGGCCAGCCCCACACATGCTCATAATGCAGAGGTAAATGCAGCACAGTGTACATGTATATGAGGTAATTCATTTGTAACGCAGTGTATATGAAGTGTTTTTTATTGACTTGACACGTGGCCATTCTAGACCAATGAAATTACAGTATCAAAGACACAATATAACAATGACCTTAACCCTAACCCCCAGGGTTTTGTATTTGCTAGAAACCCTGCTAAACGCAGCAACACACATCACTTGTCAAACTGACAAGCCTGCTCAGTGTAGCAAGGTCCAAAGTGGTCCATCAGGTCAAAAGTGACTTGATAAAACTATGGCCTTGATCAATGGATCTACATAGCTCCCATTGTCTCAGAGTTGGCAGTTGACGCACTGGTTATTGATGGCTCGATGCAGCAAGGTCCCACAGACTTACATCTGATGCACTGTGTTGAGTCTGCCAGGGTTTGGATTAATCAAAAGTTCCGAAGAGCGCAGACTCCTCATAATCATCATGACTGACTCTGTTGACTCTTTTCTGTTCTTGTTTGGTCAGTTGCCTCTGGTGACTGACTCTCTTGTAGTACTCCATCTTGGTCTAGTCCCACTAGCCTAGCGCTTTCCAGCCATAGTCTCTCTGCAACTGCATCATCACGACCTCTAGCGTGACAGTCTACTTCAGCACAGTCACTATGAAATAAAATAAAAATGTCATTTTAATTATTGATGCTTTTGTTATGCCCAAATTAAATTGGGCCCAGGTTATACTTGTGACTGCTAGGTACAGTTCCAACTATAGTTGGGGCCAATGCTATAGTGGGGGCATAACATTTCGTTCCACAAGACTAGAAGACTTTTCTAATCATTTCATTTCTAATCGTTTCATTCTATCAAGTAAACCAGAGTTGGACACCAAGTAAGGGATACTGACTGAAAAAAATTACTGAACTGGGATTCAAAAAAGTACAAACTTTGGAATTCTGTGCCCATAGTCTACAACTCTTGGCCCAAGATGTCAGTGATCGATAGTGATGGTTGCACTGTTGTAGAGCGCCCTCGCACAATTGCTTTTTTACTTTCTCGCACTGTCTTGGGAATTTTGCAGCAATGGGGCATGGCCGTTTAATGTAAATTAGACCGTTGGTGTCAATATTAATATCTTTGAACAAAACGGCAGCTTCCCATTTGAAACGATGTAGTTGCGCACGCGGGGGAATCACTGCATTGCATATCTAATTAGCAATGTTTTATCACCACATACAGCGCGTATGTTTACAACCATCACGTAAAGACTATAAAAATCCCCTCTCCCCCAAAGAAAAAAAGGCTGACAAATCCTGACAAATCTCCCCCTGCTTGGGAATATTCCTAGTTTGCTCTTAAATATATTTAGTGAGTGATGTCCCCAGAAAATTTGTCGCAAAACTTATTTTTGGAGCAAGGCAAGCTTCACATGCACGTACCTGAAATATTTGCCCGTCACCCCCTCCACCTCGCTGGCCACTGCGCAGTAGATGTTTGTCTGAGCGCCTTGCTTCGGTGTCTTGACAAACATCCAGAAGATGGGACTCAGAATGAATGAAGAGAAGCCAGATCGATGCATGCCGGTGTGCCGACCAATCTGGGTCTTGACAACGCCGGGATGGAGAGAGTTTGCGGTTACGCCAGTACCTTCAGAAAAGAAAAATGAAGTAATGGACTCGTGATCAGTTACCCCTCAAGACAAGTTCTTTTAGAACTGAAAGCAGGACTGTTCTTATCGGAACACAAACTAATAGCGAAAGTTGATAATAAGCAGGACAAGTTCTTATCAGTATACAAATATTGAGTGGCTCAGCGTGGAATGGGAGGAATATTATCGCAAGGTAAAATCTGGACTTTTCCATTTCAGGATGCGAAGTTGAGTGAACTGGAAAAGTCCAGATTTTACCGAGCGATAATGTTCCTCCCATTTCACAATTTAAAGCCACTCAATATTTTGTTTTATATAAAACTGACATATAGATCCTTGTTATTTGATATATTTAAACTTTTATTTCACTACAAAATTGATGCGAAATGTATTTCTCTCTTTCAAACCATCCCTTCACGCAAATGTTTGAACCCCACTGTAGCGCTGGCTCTTTGGAACAATACGCGCTACGGGCAACGATGAACACGCATACCAGCATGCCTTTGCACACAAATACCCCGTCTTGGAACAAGAATGATCCAAACTGTTGAATAGTATTTCCCATTGCCCATGGGCAGATAGTACTTTTTGAGACCCGGCGTGAATGGGAGTAATAACGAATGTCACGTGATGTGAGTTCCACCAATCAAATGACAAGGATCTGTATGTCGGTTATTTAAAACTAAATATCTACTGAGCAACAGTAGCTATTACCACATGGTATTACCGCAAACCAAAACGATACTGATACTCCACCATGCAAAGCCTAAAATCTTAAACCCCCTATAAAAACGGTTACAAATGAAGATAAGGGGGAGACTTCTTGGAGGGACATTTGAACTCAGTGCTGTACACACCTGATGCTCATGCAAAGACGCTATGGGTTTGTGCCCATTCAGAATAAAATTAATCTTGCGTACTTCGCACCATACGTGTTTAATAATAATAATAGTTTGGGAGGCTAATCATCCTTACTCGCAGCTGGTATGCTGAATTGCGAAGGACGTGGCTACAACGTGGTCGGGCCGCTGGGACATAAAGGCACCTATGGCTGCCGGCCACATCGACCCATATATGACCACGGAGCACAGCCTGAGATCGAAAGTGTTTGATTTTTCCGGAGGGAGGAAAACCGGAGGGCCCGGAGAAAAACCCTCGTGGCACAGGAGAGAACCAATGCACAACTCTACTTAAATGTGATCCGCGGCCAGGATTCGAACCGTGGTCACCTTGGTGAGAGCTTTACGCACAAGCCACCCATGCCACCCAGAGACTGAACCAGTAAACGCACGAGTGTGTCCCTTCCACTCAGCCTCCCGAAAGTGGTCAATAGCCCCATCTACTGTTTGAACATGGAGTCAATAAGAACCGTTAAATAGGACTCCAAATATATTCTTCATTTTCAGAAAAAAATGGTAACCTTTTCCATTTTCGTGGGAAACAAGGACATATCCAAAGGGAATTTATTTTTACTCACCTTGTAGTACAGGTGCTAACGGGTTATACAGGGCGAGTCAAAAAAAGCGAAACCCAAATGGTGGGACTATTGTTTTAGTGAAGTTCAGCATGTAGCCCTTTCAAAATTTAGGATATGAAAGCCCAATTCATAGGCTTTCTTTTAGTAAAAAAATCATTCAAATCACTCTTGTACTTTTCAAGTTACGGAAGTTTTAACACAAACCACCATTTTGAAGTTCTGTCCACGGATCACAAGAAGGTAAGTGTTCTTCCAGCAAAACGAAAACAAATCATATAGGGATGTGCTTGAATTGGTTTTTGTTTTGCTGGAAGAACGCACATCTTTTTTGTGATCCATGGACAGAACTTTTATAATGGTGGTTGTGTTTAAACTTCCGTATTTTTTAAAGTACAAAAGTGATTTGAATGAGTCTTGTACTAAAAGAAAGCTTATGAATTGGGTTTTGATATCCTAGATTTTGAAAGTGCTACATGCAGAACTTCACTAAAACAATAGTTCCGACATTTGGGTTTCACATTTTTTTTTACTCACCCTGTAATTTAAATTGTGGTGATACTTTAGTGCTATTTCCATTCTGGTACCAAAAACAAAGATGGGAACCAACCTTTTAACCTCTTACTGAGCTCATGTGTGAAGAGAACATTGGCAAGCTTGCTGTCCGAGTAGGCATCAGCAGTCTTGTACCCCGACTCGCTGTTGAGATTGTCAAAGTCCATATCTCCCGTGGTGTGGGCCAGGGAGGCGACGGTTATGATGCGACTGGGTGAGGAGGATCTCATCTTGTCTAGAAGAAGATTGGTCAGGTAGAAATGACCTGGTGGGGGGCAGGGCAGGAAATAAAAGTTGAAACTATTGGTGTGGGTTTTGAAATTACCCTTACCAGGGGTACAAACCATCCTGCAAAACTGTAGAATCAAACAACAGAATATGGTGAATGCTGATCTCACAGAATTCAATGGGTGGTGCAACTGCTTATATTGCGGATCAACAAAATGCAAAGTAAATTTTGTTTGATTTAGTGAGATTTGGGTTAAAGGTCCAGGGATAAGACCAAGATCTTCAATACCAGGAATTTTTTTTTACAGATCACATTATAAATGTACTTCAAGGAGATAAAGCCATTAGTAACTGTACCGCCCCAACCTCCCTGCCTGTTACTCTCTATTGCATCCAAACTCGCTCGTGTGCTCTAGGTTTTGTGGATTCATTAGTGAATAAACACAGTGTAATACAATGTACTATGGGTGGTTTTAAAGGTACAGTCCATCATTTGTAATTTGTGCATTATGTTTGTTTGAAGCAACAAAAGTGCTGAATATCTAAAGAAGGTTGCTGAACAACTAGCCTGATGAAGTTTTAGCTCAGTGAATGCTGTATATTCCGAGAAAACAATATTCTAGGATCTTGGTTTCAAATTAAGGCGCAATTCAAAAACATGATATTGAATTGCGCCTTAATTCAGCGTCCAGGGCACGTTCTCATCCAGCTGATTATGTCACGTACTGAACCGATGAATTATAGCAACCGCGCGCGTGTGTGCGTCGTGTCAATGGTTGTGCGTGCTTCGCTGAATTAAAAACGAAATTACTAACGGAAATTTCCAACAATGCGTCTTTAGACACATCGTTGGAAAGGCCTTCTTTCATTGTTTTCTTCAAAATGACAGCTTTCCAGAAAGAAAAATTTCACAGGGAGTTTAGTTCCATTGTTATCTTTAAACCAAGCATGCGTTTCAACAATAATTATGTCAGTTACTTTTTGGATAGCTGCAAATGATGGACTGTAGCTTTAAACCATTGTTTTATGAAATAAAAGGAATTTACAGATCCAAATCAATTTTGTTCAAGTTCTTTTCTATTCCAGCTGAAAGAGCGCTATGGTATACAAAAATAAGTGGAATCGGAAAAAGTGAAATCAGAGTACACAAACACTCATTGAAAGTAATTTAATTCAAAGTTCTCTTGAGTTCTCTTTGATTTACAATGTCAATAGTGGTAGTTCAAAACATTAAATGTTTTGGGTCTGAAGACTTTGATCTGAATTTCATGTAATTAAGCCAAGCTAATGACTGATAGTTCTTATGTTGGAGTCATGCATGATTGAAAACAAGAGCATCCTCACCAAGATGGTTGACCCCAAACTGCATCTCAAAGCCATCCTCTGTCTTCCAGAACGGACATCGCATGATGCCAGCATTGTTGATCAGAACATCCACATGAGGTTCCTCTGAAAAGAAAAACCAACAATCATTTGCAGGATGTCACTGAGATGAAGTTATGGGGTCACTAGAAGCAAAATATACACAATTATGCAGTTTTTCGTGTTAAATCACTGATAAATAATACTGGGTGGTATTAAATCACTGATAAAACCCTTCTGCGTCCCATTGTGCAGTACTAACTGGGCGCATGTGCCAATGTCCATATAAAGGGACATTTAGCACTACGCATACCATAGACATGATGAGATGTGTTTCACAAAACATTAGGTAAATTTGTTGTAAAATCGTTGGATATTGGGAATTATTGACTTGTTTTAAACTTTTTGACCGAAAAGATATTTATGAATGGGAATAAATATGCGCTTGGCCAGTATTAAACAAGTACATTTATTGATAAAATTTAATATTTTGGCCGGCATTTGACTGCGTCCAAGCCCCAAGCAGGTTTTAAACGTACTTGTTTAAAACCGGCCAAGCACATTTATTCCCGTGATCAAGCCATATCAAACCAAAAGTAAGAGTGGTTGGGGTTTTCCATCCTTAATCCTAGAAAATCCTACAAAACCTCAGTGTTTTGAGGGATCCGTCAAGGTTTGGATTAAAGTGAATGTTACCTTTATTGATCTGTTTAGCGAATTGCCTGATTGACTGGAGCGATGCCAGGTCTAGTTTCCTGACTACTACATCTTTGTTGCCCGTCTCTTCAATAATCTCCTTCTTTGCTTTCTCTGCTTTGTCCTCGTTGCGACAGGCTAGTATGATGTGGCCCCCTGAAAACATGACATCAACAAAACCTTTTACGGTAATCATTCAAATATCATTTAACATATTACATGTCAATTCAATATTGGGTTTTGCCCGACATACGGGGTGAGTAAAAAAAAACGAAACCCAAATGTCGGGACCATTGTTTTAGAAGTTCTGCATGTAGCACTTTCCAAATCTAGGATATGAAAGCCCAATTCATAAGCTTTCTTTTAGTACAAGAATCATTCAAATCACTCATGTACTTTTCAAGTTCCGGAATTTTAAACACAACCACCGTTTTAAAGTTCTGTCCAAGGCTCACAAAGAAGGTGTGCGTTTTTTCAGCAAAACAAAAACAATTCACACACATCCCAATGTGTTTAGGTTTTGTTTTGCTGGAAGAACACTTACCTTCTTGTGATCCGTGGACGGAACTTTAAAACGGTGGTTGTGTTTAAAATTCCGTAACTTGAAAGGCACTTGAGTGATTTGAATGATTCTTGTTTTTAAAGAAAGCTTATGAATTGGGCTTTCATATCCTAGATTTTAAAAGTGCTGCATGCAGAACTTCACTAAAACAATAGTCATGGAATTTAGGTTTCGCTTTTTTTTACTCGCCCTGTACTTTCATAACACTCTACAGGTACATGTATAGTGTGTACTCTGTTTTGTGTGGGGGCTTGTGAGAAGAAATTCACAAGCTCAGGTGGGACTCAAGCTCATAACATCCTGCTTCCTAGTGCAGACATCTAAGGCCTAAAAAAAAAAAGTGTTATGTTGGCGTAACCCGACCGACCCTAAAAATGCGGCCGACCCTGGATATTTTTTTTTTTTTTGAAGGGAAGAAATATAATTAAAATCTATAGAAATGAATTTTAAATACGTTTTGAAACCATTTCTGACCGTTTCTCCTCAATTGTATGACGATAGCGCGCGTGGAACTTTGGAGTGCACAATGTTTAGCACCTTCCTCTCCATGACACAACGAACATGCAGAAGATCGCGCAGGCCTACAGGCAGTGCGCGTGCGGAGATCGATGCACCATGCATGCATGATAGATGCACATGTACATATGTACAGTACATGTATAGCCTCGTCCTAGACTGTTGCACGGCACGAACTGCTACATATTTATTCCATGTTAACAAAAATAGTTCATTATAATATAAATTATTTTAATTAATTTTCCACTATTTTACACGATAACAATTGATTATATTTATTCTAAAAATGGTAAACTATTCTGTAACCCCGGCGGCCGACGCGACCCGGCCGGCCCCGGCCCGTGGTTACGCGCGTACGCCGTCGCATCATGGCGCCCGGTACCGAAGCGTACAGTGTTTCCATCAAGGGCAAATGGGGATCTTCGGTCATTTTCGACCGTTTAATGCGGATAAATTTGAATCTAGAGCTGGGGGTAATCGCTCAGAGCTGTGCCGATGGTGTAAAAGCGGGTTACACCGTGCTAAAAATACAAACTTCAAAGGAAGAATCGGGTCCATATAAAGATGTCGATGCAGATGAAACGGCTAACATTTTGTCTGATTTTGGATTCCGCTTTTTGATATTTAGGCCATTTAAACGCTAAAAGGTAAATATTGCTTAAATGTCCTATCCTATCCTATGCCTATAATTTGAATATAACATACTGAAAACTGAAATACAACAGCCAGAACTTTTCTTAATTCATGGTTTTTATTTTTAATATATCATTTTACAGATACACCAAAAACAGCAAGTTGGCTTCATGCCTCATCTGTCCTGAAGCACACTGCAGGCCTTGGTCTACCATGCCTTCCTTAAATTTTCCTCGATCTGACAGTTTTGTTTTTATTTGCACAAAAACAAGAAACTATAAAAGAAAGACATAAAAAGTGAAATAAATGTCACTCGGAGTTTAAAAGTATACAAATATTGTGTGTAGCCTTGTTTTCTTTTGTTATCGTGTACTACTACCGGCTTAATGTCATTTTCGTTGCTGGGATAAAAAAAAAATTAAAAAAAATTAAAAACCGACCTACCTACCCTATTTTTTCTGGCCCGTTACGCCAACATAACTTCTTCTTTTTTAGGCCTATTAAGTAATGTTGTGCAAACCCGAACCGTAACTGTAACCAACCCGAATCCAGGGTCGGGTCAGTTTTTGTATCATTTCAGTCAGGTAGAGTCGGTTTCAGTGTTCCATTTGCGATTTTTGGGTCAGGTCGGGTCAGTTAAGCCATCTTGTGAAGAATCCCAAATAAATCAAAACAAACCCCAAAACCTGAAAAAGTTTGGAAACTCACTAGTTGTTAACGTTATGAGTTAACCGTAACGTACGGTATGAGTAAAAATGTAAGTTAAAGCACAAAACAGTTACAGTTGCCTGGGCCAGATATTCAGTCTTGGGTCGGTTTGGGTTGTTTTTGCTTGAATTTTTGTTAGGGTGAGATTTGGGGAGTTTAGATCGGTTTCGGTTCGGGTCGGTCTATAATGTTTCGGGTCGGAAACTATAACGTTTCGGGTCAGTCTGGCCCGGTCAACCCAACGCCATGCACAACATTACATCCAAGTAAGCTTGTGATTTCTTTCTCAAAAACCCTCAGACAACACTGAGTGAGTATCAGAAGGTATGTCGATGAAGGGCAAAACCCCAAATTGAAATTACATCTCCATCTGTAATCATTTCCTACATTTTAGTTCCTTTAAATTGGTCTCTGCTACTAGAAGCATCTCCCAGAGAGCTATGTGATCCAAGAATCAGATTTAAATCTAAGATAACGATCTGCAAGGGGCTTCCAAGGAGCTGCTTAATAAGCAGAACATTTGGCAAATCACAGAAAGTATGTTTTCTCAGCAAAAGCATGAACCTTCTGCCAAATGTAATATAATTTCCACTACACGTTTGTGAGTGGTTCTGAACTGAGTTTTGCTTGGGACATAAATTTGCTTAAAGATGCATGTATATAGGATCATTTGCTTTTCGTGCATTTTTTTTTTTCGTTTGAATCAACAAAATTGCTAAAAATCTTAAGTAAGGTGCCTATAACAACTACATTTATCATCTGTCGAAGTTTTAGCTCTCAGTGAAAACTATACATTTTGAGAAAACAGAGAAAACATATGCATAATTTTGTGGGTCTTGTAAATGCTACGCGAATAAAACAACACCTTCAGTGCAAGTTTTCTTGCAAATGAGACCATTTCAAGCACAATTATTTCACAGGGTATTTGATGCCAGTCCTGTGTTCACTTTGAGCAAGGTTTCTGTTGTGAATTCAGTAGGTACTCTTCTAGGTATATTGCAAGTGATCCTACGTGGCTTTAACAATATTTTCGGTTAAACTCAGCGCACAGAAATTGGCATCTGCTCAGAACCTCCTCCAATCTTTTGTCAGGACAGGACGGAAGACATTTTATACAAACCTCTCCTGGCTAGATCTTTGGCAGTTTCTTTCCCAATGCCTGAGTTGGCACCTGTTATAATCACAGTCTTCCCATCGATACAATTCTCGCTTTTGCAGACAGCACCTCCAAAGTAGTCTCTATTTTATGAAAAAGAGAAAAGAAAAAGGCTTCTCAAGTAACTTACACTTTAGGTGCACTTAAAGGGAATGTACATCATTGGTTTTTGCTGTAATTTTCAGAAATGAACTATTTGAGGGGTTACTATGATAGATCAAATATTGTTACACTGACATGTTTAAAGTTTTGTGATCGAAAATGCTGGAAAAACCAAGAAAAACACAAATGGTGGAGTAGTCTGGTTCCCTGACTCCACTAAAGATAAAATGGATCAATTGATAGATGCCGGAAATTTGTAAGGTAAGGGAACCAGTCTAGCTGGCCTGCACCCGTTCATGAACATGTAACCAATAGCAAAAAAAATTTGGACTGAAAAAAATGGTGAATATAAAAGCAGTAGTTGAAAAATAGTTAGGTTTTTCCAATGGTGGTCGGCCGACCACTGTTGGAAATTTATACAAAAATACAATTTTCTCAAAAATGACTTCACACCAGGTGCCATAATTTTACAGGATGCTTTAGACTGTCATTTACCAACATCCTAGTAAGGTGTTTCATTTAACTTGGTAGTTTTATTTTTCGATTGTTTGCAAATGTTGTATATTCCCTTTAAATGTTAACTTTGGCATACTAACACTTACCCCCAAAAGTTTAACAAATGCGTAGCAAATTCTGATTGAATGGACAACTACATGTATAAGATGCTTACAAATGTAGTTTTTCTGTGGTTAATTGCAAGTTGTTGATACAAAAAAAGAGAAATTCTGTCGCAAATCAAAAACCTGTACTCAGGTTGACCTGATGTCAAGTTTACATGGGTACAAGAGGACCCAGGTCTAGTCCGAAAATTTGGGACTCTCAATACTGTGTATGTATGTAGTAAATTCATGTATGCAATACAAGAAAATAGACAGGCACCTGAAACAACCAGTCCAACACCCCTTTAGCACTGCATCAATCAACTGTGTCAACTGCTCCAAATAATTTTTAGAATGACACATTAAAGCATTTGAGTCAAGCTTACACATATTAGCCCCACTAGCGTTCAGCCCCGATATTGCTGCACTGTATCTGTATCATTAGGCTATATTGGAAAAAGTTCGAATACAGGAATTCATCCATAGGCCTAAATTAGGATGTCATCCATAACTTCGGGCAGTGTAACCATGGTAACCATGGTATCTGAGTGTAAAAAGGTCATCGGTTGGACTAGACAGTGGGACTGATTCAGTCCCCTACCATCATGACCACGGAGTCGATCATGTCGATGTGCGCTATTGGTCAATCCCGCTGCCACCAGTCAAAGACCTTTTCTTTCTATTTCACAACTCTGGAGGATTTTTTTCTTATAAGGAAAGTCTGAGATATCCTACAGAATTGACCCATCGCACAACGCGATCAACAGCGATCAACAGAGCTATTACCAGTCCTGCTGTCTGCTAATAAACATGCCTATAAATCCGGAAAGAATATTGCATAGTGATCTGATGCCACTTTTCTCATCCTTATTCATGAAGGCATCATTACCAGGTGTTCAGATGTGTCAAGAAATATCAGAATGTCACTTTGTGTCATCACTATCGAAAAAAGAAAAAAAAGTCATGCTGAATCGATCAACGACTGTTTCGTGTAGTGGTATGTGCCCAGTGCAGTATGGGCTTTTTGCGCGGGGCACATATCATTACAAGAAACAGTCAGTGATTAAGCGTGACTTGTTTTTCTTCGATAGTGACATCACACACGCCCTCAAGGGAAGAGCAATGATGTGGACTGCACAACTCGGCAGACATTTAATTGTGAGTGGTAAGTTTATCAAAATATTTTGTTCTTTTTTCAATTTACCGGTTGTTACGTTTGGATCATTTTTTTTGCAAAATTTAAACGCAGTGGCTATTGTTACGGCAGCCGTAACGCATTTCCCATTTTCTATCGTTACGGTAGACTGCAACTTTTATAAAAACATGAGAAGAAAATATAAAATTAGAAGGCCTTTATTTCCCTTTAAAAAAAAATCCTCCAAAGCCTCAGGTTAGAAAAGGAAAAAAATTCGAGTGCAAAACTGCGATACGAACCCGCAACCTCGCGGTGCAAAATCCTACCCTCTATCGACTGAGCTGTCACACTGCTCGCTAAAACGTGGGGAAACAAATAATTATATACCTGCGTGCGTATCAAAAAAGTATCGTAGAGGGCGCTAAACAATGGCTGCCGTAACGATAGCCACTTCGAAATTTAAAACATCGCAAATTTTGGAAGGCCCCTTAAAGAGTGAGTAAAGTTGGCCTTATTTTAGACCCGTGAACATGGCTTTGTCATTTGTTAATATTCACAGGTCTAGCTGTCTGCTACGTCTAGCCTGATTTAGTTTTTGACGTTTTAGAACACTCAGGTCCGAGTCTGGACTAGGCCTCCATTTGGAAAGATTTCCTTATTTTCCCTTCAGTAACCTATCAGCTAACATAAAGTGATAATATGTCCTAAAAAAGTACAATTTAGCAGGGAAAATATTGAAGTATTTATTGAGAAAACACTTTAATTTTCAGACCAGTCTCATGATAGATTTGTGCACAGCGGTGCCGGGTGTCAAGTGATGGCCAGATATGGGAAGCTTTCCCTAGGCCTACATTCTTTTCCCCTGGTCCTGCCTGTTACTGTTAGTCTTACCTGAGCAAAACAGTACCACCAACCAGAGTTCCAAATATTGACAGGCGTATTGTTAATCTTGGGCTGAATATCCTAGTAATCGAGCTTACAACTTTTGATGCCATCCTATTCCTAATTCAAATGCTGCTTCTTGACTTGTACAAGTATACAATATACCTAGCCCCACGGCCAGACGCAGTCGGGCTAACAATATACCATACCGGCGCGGCATGTACCGGTGACGTGAAGCGTGAAGAAAACAGCTGAATGACTTGATCTGGGCTATTGAGGGCGCTCTTTTTATAGCAAGTATCTCATCCATCATCCAACTGAGAGCCCCACGAACAACGACTTGAACAAAACAAACGATATTGAATTTGAATTAAATATACATGTAGTTGGAACTAGCTCTCCTGCGGCCGTCCCATTTCGGCTTCACTTCTGTTTTCTCCCGTCATGGAGGTACGGTGGTACTCGGCAACCACAGAGTATCTGAACACTGTCACACACCTAGGGTCAGCCTCCCTTGAACCTGCACCTTTGGCCCCAGGTCCCGCACCACACTGTGCTCAGTACAAAAGCGAGTGGTTAGATCAGTCCCAGAATGATTTTTGTGAGTTGCGGCATTATTAGTTCTGCATCATCGTCAAGCGCCATGGTTAGATATGTACTACACTACTTCCGTTTTCACGGACGAGCCGAAGCTACTCGGCTCGCTTTTAAGCTGGCAGGAGTCGACTACCAAGAGAAATATATAGAGTGGCCGTCAGCGGAATGGGAAGAGTGTAAACAAAGTGAGTTGCCGGCGAAACGACTCGGTTATGAAGCCAACTGATTATTGAGCATAATCATTTAAATTTTAAATGATTATTGAGCATAATTTAAGTTACCGAGTCAGTAGCTTTTGATGTGTGAGCATGATCGAAGGCTACTTCTAGAAATAGAAGGCGGTCAACAATCTCACATAGGGCCTACATCTTCTCTTCTTCATTCATTCATTTTCATGATGACTTGATGAGTTGGGCCAAACTGTCACATACATGCAGGCTCAAATAGAAGTCGGTTTGTCAAAACAGTGAACCGATGAAAGGCTTTGCAAATGACACCATTACAAAATCAAAGTCCTTACGCTGGGTATAGTGTTCTTTTGAGTCCTTGGCTTAATTCTGGCTCTAGTTAACGAATAACCTATCGCCATACACCGTGCCTAGCAGCGGCGTAGCCAGGGGTGCAAATCGAGTGGCCGCAATGCCGCGGGCTCAGCAGAGATTTCATAGGCAAAATCGGGACGCTATAACTGAAGCATAATCGGGACGACAACATGGATTCAACGGGACGGAAATTGTTTTGCTACGGGCAAACGACGCGCCTAAACTGTACATGAAACCCGTCGCCTAGGGCCAGGGTGGGTCATCCGGGGTCACTAACGAGGTTGGTCCGTTATAGCTGATTTAGCTATCTATTTGTAATGTTGAAGGCATAAAGGATCATTGTTCTTCATTTATTGTATTGTTTTCATAGTTTCCAATAATAACACCACTCAAAATCCAAAGAAGAATGTTCAAAACTATTTAGGGCCTAACCTGTTAAAGTTTCAGCCCAGCTCGGATATCACTTTTCAAAGGAACAGTGAAAAACCAAGCACAAGTCCACCTTAATTGGATCACGAAATACCAATTTCTCTGCATTTCAAAAAATCAGTCAATTGGCTGATCGTTAGAAATCACCTACGTTTCTTGATTTCTTCTGAGTAACAGCCGGAATAATTTCAAAGAAAAGAAAAGACTCAGTCTTCAAACAAGACTCGCCATGGCCCAATCATCCCCACGGTTTTCTAGCCTGGGTTATATAAGATCATCCGACTAGAACGAATTCCTCAAATGTAAAAAGTATACAACCTCTCCGAGTTTAGTTACAAACATGACTGTAATAGTTATTTTTATACTTGTCTTGGCAAAAATAGGATACCCAACGCAGCAAGTACCGGTGTTGGAAGTTGACGGGAAGATCATTGGACAGAGCAAAGCCATCCTGCGATATGTAGGCAGAGAATTCGGTCAGTCCTGTCTCATTCTGCATGGGCTAAACCACCAGTCATGATATCCCACGAAGTGACCTCACCTTCTCGTTTGTCTTCGGTCGCGCCAACTCTCGATACTCAGTCCTGGCTCAAATATTTCGTTTCCTTTTTTGCGCCCGCCTATCTAACGAAATAAAAATGCGTGTCCAATGCTTTATTCCAGTTTCACCTCGATTTCTTTTGTAATTGTTACGTTCCTAGCAATATCAAATTTAAAGTTATTCACCGACGTTAAGTTATTTAATTTTTCTCCACAAAATTCGAGCTATTAAATTCGACAAATTAAATACTTCTTTAACCGATATATAGAAGAAACCTGTGTTTAGGTTTCTTGGATGTCATCTTTTGTAGGGCTTTATGGTAAGACGTCTTTAGATGCAGCCTACATCGACCAAGCTATTGACACGGCAGAGGATATCTGGGCAGCAGTCAATGACACGTACGTGGGAACCAAAGAACAACAGGTGAGTTGAAACACCCAGTTTCATTTCATTTGTTCGATTATCTCAAATTTGATAGAAAAAAATCTAAAGAGTGACGGACGTATATGCAATAGACCAATATGAGGCTCTGATAGTGACATCTAATGGATTTTTTTTGTCTCCCTCTACCGTTGATGTCGTGTTACTGTGATTGCTAGTGCGCGTAGTTCAAAATCCATGCTTCGGTCAAGACTACATTGTAGTCTGGGGGCCGCGTTTTGGTGGCCCTTGACCTGGAACATGTTTCTGACGTCACAGTCGTGACGTGGACATGTTTCCAGTGCACCGCGAAAACGCCTGACCAAAAACTTGTTCGTGACGTCACTTTGTGTGGTGAGCAGATCATCATGACCACAATAGGAAGACGATCACGAATGATTTAGTCAATTTAACACGATTTTACAAGCAAAAGTCGGGCAGTTACTTTTCCAGTATTTTCCCCAGGCAGAGTATCAACTGTGACCGTACCGACTGTACAAACCCACTGTTTAAATCTCTTTTGTGGTAACAAAGTAACGTCGTTTATAAAACGTGTTTACCTTTCCACCATCTTGAAACGTAAGTGAACCAGTCGCAATTAGTTCTCGGTTCAACTTTGGTCGGAACAATTTCGTCATTTCTTCAGCGTAACTGGAGCGCCAAAACGGTCCCGAACCAGAAAAAGTCATGTTTACGGTCACAGCGCTAAAACCAGGTTTGTGTGGAACATCACCCTGCGCATTGCGTGACCTCGGCGGCGTGTGACGTACCAACTAGCAACTTATTGAAACAATACGAATGTTTAGTTCAGTTGGTTGAGCACAGGAACGGCAATCCGGACGCCACTGGTTCAAACCCCGCCCAAGACGATTTTTTTTGTTCAACCTTAAAATACAGCGTGTGTCAATAAAAACGCAGGATTAGAAACACAAATATTAAGAATATAAACCACCCCTATTCATCATAATGTTAACTCTCTTTTCAAAGTACCTTTCCTTCTCTTCACTATGCTTTTTATCCCATCTCATTTGGACAATCCTGTCCAGAGATAGAGTACATTGAAGAAGGGTTATAAATTCCAAGCTGGTCTGATTTGTGAAATCACACATACCTAATGAAAGGTTTGAATTCAGTACAGGTGAAAGTATTTGTGGATCACAAAGAAGGACATGTGTGGCAGGGTTAGGCTTACATAATCCTTTAGTCCACAATCAATGTTATTAGTCAATAATTCATGATGCTTTGAAACAATGATAGTCCAGTTATTAAATTTAAGTGATACTTATCATCAGTTGTTTCAAAGAAAGTTTTGTTCTGGTTTAATTGTCTTCAATGCATACCTGCATTGTACATAACTGGTCGTTGTGTTAAGGTCATTGAATCAGACCAACCCGCTTCAGAAGGGCTTCACAAAACTTGTCATAACTTTTGAACCAAAAGTCCAAATTCCACTAAACAAAAATCTTGTCAAATACGAAATTATGGACAATCAAATCCTTATCAAATTAGGCACACCAGTAGCATAATTTTCTCAGAAAAAAAATCGCTTTGAATCCTGCGTTTTTATTGACACACGCTGTAATGTTTGCATTGAGGCCTATTATAAAAGAATGCTTCAAAAACGGAAACATTTCTATAGAGCCTGAATGTTCACCCCTGGTGCCTTCAATATTGAGCGCAAGGGTTTTGAAGCGATGGTATCAACCAAAGGTTAGGTCAGATTTTTTTGATAATGCTTGACATCTAAATTTGTTCGTTTTTTAGGCGGCAAAAACAAAGACATTTCTGACGGAGGTTGTTCCGCCAGTCTACGCATCGTTAGATCGCCAATTCGCTGTGGAACCGGCTGGAGAATATATTGTCGGAAATTCGGTAACTGAGAATTCAGTGACTTAACTTGATCCCGTGTCGGAAACAGAGGGACGATGCATTTTAGGATCAAATATTATTGTGTTACGAAAATATATTTCTCTAGTAAATATGTTTTTTAATAGTGGGTTTAGGTTGGATAATGCCAGAGGTTGAGAGAGTTGCGAGACAGGGGTACCGTTTCGGACGCCATTATAGGTCCAAGAATGGGGAAAGCGTTCTCGTGAGATTCTTGGATTATTTTAATGGGATTGTTAACATGCATACTGAAGGAGAATTAGAGAAACTGATTACTGGATAGCCTATAGGCCTAGGGGAGCAGACCTGTAAATGGGTCCAGAAATGCCTACGCGGGCCAAATCACAATTTGTGCACCCTCAAAATCTTTGCTATTAGAGCATTTTGTGGGCCATCGGAACTTGGAGGTTTGTAAAAAAAAAAAAAAAAAAAAATTAAAAAAAGATGGGTGGAAGCCGTGCACACGAGTGTGAGCTCGTATTTATGTAAAAATTCTCATGAATTTGCGCCCTAAAATTGCTTTATTTTGCAATGGAGCGCAGGCATCATTTTTCAAAATGGCGATGGGCCACAAGACTACTTTTCAGGGTGATCATCTTTGGATGGAATTTTCTCCAAAAGTTATCAGATAACGGAACAAAAATTGAACAGAAAATTAAAGATTATGAAATAAGCTTTCATTTGATGGGTGTGTCAAACACATTGGAGAGTTGTGGGCATTTTAAAATAATTTTTGGAACTACTTTGGGAGTCAATTTGCAGGTCTGCACCCATATACCGTTGCGGACATAACGCGAGCCGAGATGGACCTATAATAGCCGCAAGTCTATGTCCTCTACCTATAATACCACTTTAGACAGCCTGTCATATAAAACAAAAAAATACTGGCGGCAAATGATATCAAATTGTGTTTTGTTTTGCTTCTTTCTGTTCATAGATAACGATCGCTGACCTCTTCTTCTTCACTGCGGTGGATTTCGTCAATTTCGTCTCCAGGGGCGCCAACTCCTTGGAAAAGTTCCCCAAGCTTACGACCCTCAAGAGTCGTATCGCCAGTGATCCCAAGATAGCGGCGTGGCTTGCAGAGCGACCGCCTGAACCGCCCTACCAACCCGAATAAAAAGACGGTGGCTTTGCAACGTGATGTTTTCAAGCCATTTTAAATAGACCATGGCTTTCGCCATGGTCTATTACATAGACTAGTGGGAGGGGGGGGGGGGTATTTGCAGAATTGGCATCATATTTTGTACAGTCCTGAAAAAAAGTTTTGACAGACCTCCACAATAATTATTATATGCGATTGTATTTAAAGGGAATGTACATCATTGGCTTTTGCTGTAATTGTCAGAAATGAACTATTTGAGGGGTTAGTATAATAGATCAAATATTGTTACACTGACATGTTTGAAGTTTTGTGTTCGAAAATGCTGGAAAACCAAGAAAAACCAAAAATGTTCAAGTAGTCTGGTTCCCTCTGGTTACCTGCCGGAAAATTGTAAGGTAAGGGAACCAGTCTAGCTGGCCTGCAGCCGTTCATGAACTTGTAACCAATAGCAAACAAAATCTAGACTGAAACAAAATGGTAAATTTGGAGCAGTAGTTGAAAAATAGTTAGGTTTTTCCAACGGTGGTCGGCCGACCACCGTTGGAAATTTATACAAAAATAACACTTTTCTTGAAAATGACTTCACACTAGGTGCCATAATTTTACAGGATGCTTTAGACTGTCATTAATTTTACCAACATCCTAGTAAGGTATTTGGTAAAAATTTGGTTGTTTTGTTTTTCGATGTTTGCAAATGTTGTATATTCCCTTTAAAGCAACATGCACTGAAAATGAAGAGGTATAAACCAACTAGCTTTTGGGCTATTATCTAAGAGCAGATTTGATAAAATTAGGGTCCAAAAATGGGTCCTATTTGCACGAGAAAGTGTAGGGATGCCACTGGTAACTTTGGCAGTATGCAGGCTCAGCATTACCGGCAGGCTTCAAGCATTACGGACACACTCTCGCAAAATGTGGTCCGGCAGCTTTCTATACAAAAGCCTCGTTGGCTCGGGGTTTTGTACGTAAACCTTATCAGTCAGCCGATCACGCTCAATTGACTTCGGCCAAACCGCAGTCCCATCATAAGAAATAAGTTAACAATGTTATCCGGACCATTTTTTCCGAGACTGTGTCTCTAATGTTGATGTGTGCCTTTTCCCGAACAAAATGATGCTCTTATACGCTGTAATTTCACCCTGACTAGAACACTGATTACATTTAGGCTATATACGGAACACGGTGACCGTTTTAGCCGCTTTTCGGCTAACTTTGACAGATTTTTTTGTTAAAAAATGAGTTTGATAGAAAATTTGACAGAGTGGATTATTTTGGCAGATTTCTGGCAGAATTCTGCACAACAAATATAAAAAAAAGGTATATTTCATTAAAAAAAGCTTCAATCTTTTCGAACAAACCCTTGCATCATGGGACAGGTTGGCTGGTCTAGGTGCTGAGGTTCACTGGGAACCAGACTTTGTCGTGACGCAAGCACGTTTTGCCTGAAATTTACGCAATTTCATAACATCTTTATGTTACTGTAGATTGTTTATAAAGTAATTTCAACCTTAATTAAGGCAATATTACAACATCTTCATATGACTTTAAATGTCTATAGAGTATTTCGAGTAATTCTGGGGAATTTGGCAGATTTTTGATGAATCTGACAGATTTTTGAATTGCATTTAGCAGAATTTGGCCATGACCTTACGGTCACCCTGATACGGAACGACGTTATAACGCGCACATGAAAACGGATGGAGGCACATAATTAGATTATTAAGCATCAGTAATAATTTGCATGTAAATCGCACTTGTGAATATTTAAACAGCTTTCGCCGAATTCATCCATCTACTATCATCTGTTGCCATGACAAGATGAGCAACTTCCGTCAATATTAAATTATTAAAGCACAAACAGTACACAAAGGACATCAACTGATAAAACATATCTTTTATTTAATTGTCAACAATAACAGATTTGAACGGATGTACATATTTAGTGTAAACGCGCTTTTTATCAAGTTTTTCGAAAAGATAATGTGAAATTAGACGAGCATGATGTTTACAAACAAATGTTTCTATCAAGTTTAAAATGTGAAAAAATCAAGCCGTATCAAAAGTCTGCTTTCTATGTATTACGTCTGAGATTCCTGGTCCCCTTGCATTTCCCTGTAAAATATTATTGCATTAACTGGCGAATGCAGTACTTAATGGAGTGCATGAACAGAACAGACGAGATCTCCATATCCAAACTGGGGCCATCATTTGCGCTCAATTGGGGCAGTTCTGCGGTTGATTTCAATTAAAGCTATAGTCCATCATTTGCAGCCATCCGAAAAGTAACTGGCGTAATTATTGTTGAAAAACAAACTTGGTTGAAAGATATTAAGGGGACTAAACTCCCTGTGAAATTATTCTTTCTGGGAAGCTGTCATTTTGAAGTAATCAACGAAAGAAGGCATTTCCAACGGTGATTCTTAAGAAGCACCGTAGGAAAATTTAAATTAGTAGTTCGTTTTGTTATTCAGCGCAGCGCGCACAAGTATTGGAACGACGCACACGCGCGCGCGGTTGTTATAATTCGTCGGATAAGTGCGCGACGTCGCGTATAGCTGCAATTCAAAACAATTCAAAACATGATTCAGTAACTTTTGATTTGAAATTGAGATCTTAGAATGCTGTTTTTCTCGGAATATACAGCTGAAGCTGAGCTGAAACTTCATCAAGTAAGTTGTTCAGTATCCTTCATTAGATTTTGAACACGTTTGTTGCTTCAAACGAACAAAATGCACAAATTACAAATGATGGACTATAGCTTTAAGAAACGAACAAAACAGGTACTCAGTCATGTACCACAAAGAGGGAACTTATATGCGTTCCGCAATTAATCCATAGGTGATCAATGATCCCACAACTTGTCAAGCCAAGCTAAGGCAAACGGCACGCCTGAAGAGTGAATGCTGAGTTGCCATGGGAACATGCTACTTTGTTCTTGACGTTTTGCGTTTGATACCTGAGGTAAATGACCGGGCATGAAAATGCAAATTTAGCCAAGGGCAGGAAATTGATAATCACGGTGAAGACAGTCACGGTAAAGTTGGCAGAGATGGTCAACCAGAAGGAGCAAGTGAAAGTAATAAAAGGCAGTGAAATCCGACTTGCAGCCGTGAAAACGATGTGCGTAGATGAAAAGCAAGTCAACCGACCTATTATCAGCCAGTAGACCTATGCGATGAGATACACTGACAACACTGACAAAGTGCAATCTCTGGGAAATCTTTTGTTGTACGACCGCGGAACCATCCAACATGAATCCACAATCTGTTAATTTAACCGAATTGCTGGATGAGGAGCCAAAACCTCAACTGGACCCGTACGAGGTTACCTTCGGCGTGTTGACAGCTCTGACATTCGTTTTGATTCTCACTCTCAACCCGATATGCCTTGTGGTGCTTCATCGCGCCAGTGGCATCCAAGAAACGACCAAGGTGTTCATGGCTTCACTCAGCGTGTCTGATATCTGCATAGGGCTGTTCTTGGTGCTCGATTTCAACGGGGAATGGGTGTTGTCTTTTCTGTGCACCGCCTGGGGTGTTTCAGCACCATCTTTTGGTGCACTGAGTATCTTTTCACTTGTTCTCCTGACAGTGGATCGCTTTGTTGCTATCGTCTACTCGCTGCGCTATCCGACACTGATGACTTTGAAGAAAGCAGAGATAATCGTCGCTATCACGTGGATCTTGACTTTGACTTTCTTCACAATTGTATCTGGCATCGTTTTACCAAATGCCATATACCCGGAGGCACCTCACACATGTGGTGGCTCATCTTATTTGTTTGTCCATATTGGTATCTATAATAGCAATCTCCCTTGTGACCATTTTCATCCTCTACATGTACATTCTTAAAGTTGCCCGTCAGCAGGCACGTCGCATCGCCGCCCAGGTCAATGTTGATTGGGGTGATGAGAGAGCTCTGCAGAGAGTCAGCCCAAAGTCGGCTACCACGGTGTTCATCAAACCATGACGGTCTGTATATGCTGGACCCCGTCTATCCTCTATGGTGCGACTTACTCAATCGTTGAAGAACTGCGGTCGTTTCAGAAAACCTCGTATCAATTTGTCTTACTTGACCGCAGGATGCAAGCCAAAGCACGAAAACTCATCACTACTATTTATCTAAACGGAATAACTGAACACAGTAATGGGTTGACCATTGGACGACCGCGACATCATTGTTGATGACATTATTACCTGGGACCAACGATAGGCCAATGTGATGCAAAGTATATTTCTTTCAACTAGAGATTTAGTAAAAGTAAGAACGCTTTTATAAATGTATATTCGATGGAGAACATTCAGCATCGACGTAGTCGAGTCACTCGAGTCGAGTCTTAGTTTTGAGCTACTTTCAAGTTCGAGTCCGAATCACGAGTCATTTGCCGATGCGCATCGGCATGCGTTGGGCAATGCATTGTACGAAATCGACGTTTATAAACACACACATACATATACTAGCGAGTGATGCGCTGTCGCGGGAAACAGGGAGGGCGCGTGTAATAAGTATTATAACATGTATTTGAACATGTAACACCACCCGGAAGTGGTGGCGAATCACGTTTTCAATAGATATATTTGGGTAACAAAATACGTGACTCGCGCGTCATGAGTCATTAGCGTCAAGTGATGGTGGAGTCCGAGTCTAAGAGCGAGTCTTTTGCTGATGTGACTCGAGTCGAGTCCGAGTCACTGAAATTGTGACTTGAGTCCGAGTACTGGACTCGAGTTCTACAACAATAACAATGATTGTAACTATATGAAAATAATTTTAGATCAGTTAAAATTTATTTCATTTAATTGTAAACAATATAAGATTTGAACGAATGTAGGTATTTAGTGTCAAGTTTTTTATCAGGTTTTTCGAAGAGATTATGTGACATTGGAACTGCACAAAATGAAAACCTAGAAAAGGAGGCACAGAATTAAGACACTAAAGTATCAGTAATAATTTGCATGTAACTCACACTGTTAAATATTTAAACAGCTTTCGCAATATTCATTCATCGACTATCATCTGTTGCTATGGCATGATGAACAACTTCCCGTCAATATTAAATTATTAAACGCACAAAGGGGTTTGAAAAGGTTGGCAGGATTTAGCCCCTTTGATTAAAAATTACTGGCTACGCCTGTAAGACTAAGGCAGTGAAAACAAACGATAATTGCAGCCGTGAATACGATTTGCAGTGAAAAGCAAATCACAAAACCTGTGCAAGCCAGTGGACCTATGCGATGAGATACACTGACAACACTGACAAAGTGTACTCTCTGGGAAATCTATTGTTGTACGACCGCGGAACCATCCAACATGAATCCACAATCTGTTAATTTAACCGAATCGCTGAATGAGGAGCCAACACCTCAACTGGCCCCGTTGGAGGTTACCTTCGGCGTGTTGACAGCTCTGACATTCGTTTTGATTCTGACTCTCAACCCGATATGCCTTGTGGTGCTTCATCGCGCCAGCGGCATCCAAGAAACGACCAAGGTGTTCATGGCTTCACTCACCGTGTCTGATATCTGCGTCGGGCTGTTGTGGCTGCTCCCGCAGCTAACACAAGATTTCAACGGGGAATGGGTGTTGGGTTCTTTCCTGTGCACCGCCTGGGGTGTTTCATTTCCACTTCCTGCTGGACTGGGTGTCCTTTCGCTTGTTCTCCTGACAATGGATCGCTTTGTTGCTATCGTCTACTCGCTGCGCTATCCGACACTGATGACTTTGAAGAAAGCAAAGATAACTGTCGCCATCACGTGGAGCCTGGCATTGGCATTCTGCATAATTGTATTTGGCATCCTTTTACCGAGTGCCATATCTCCGGTGGAACCCCGTAACTGCGGTCTCAAGTCATCAGACTACACAGGGTTTTTTGATGGGATCATTGTGGTCATATTTGCAATCTCCCTTATAACAATTTTCATCCTCTACATGTACATTCTTAAAGTTGCCCGTCAGCAGGCACGTCGCATCGCCGCCCAGAATCAGATCAATGTTGATAGGGGTGATCGGAGGGCTCCGCAGAGAGTCAGTACAAAATCGGCTACCACGGTGTTCATCATAACCATGACGGTCTGCATATGCTGGACCCCGGCCATCCTCTTAAGTGCGACTAAAACAATCGTTGGAGAACTGCGGTTCTTTAAGTTTCACTTAATTACAAACTTGATCTTTATCACCAACAGTTGGCTGAATGTTGTCATTTACTATCTGAGGAACAGGGAGCTTCGGAAAGCCCTGCACGAGTTGCTAGCTTCATGCTTTCGCCAGCAATTCTAAAAGAAAAAAAAACCTCGTATCACTTTTACAACTTAACCGCAGGATGCACCAAAGCACCAAAACTTATCTAAACGGTATAACTGAACAGAGTCATGGGTTGACCATTGGACGACACATCCTTGTTGATAACATTATTGTCTGAACAGCTGGAACTTAGGCTAATGGGACCAACGATGGGCTAATGTGATGATGCAAACTTCTTTCTTTTTTTTCAACAAGAGATTCAGTAAAAGTAAGAACGCTTTGTAAATGTAAATTCGATGGAGAACATTCAGCATCGACGTTTGACTGTTAACAGTATTGTAGTCGAGTCATTTGAGTCGAGTCCTAGTTTCAAGCTACTTTCAAGTTCGAGTCGGAGTCACGAGTCATTTGCCGATGTGCATCGACATGCGTTGGGCGACGTTCATTAAAGCTTTAGTCCATCATTTGCAGCCATCCGAATAGTAACTGGCGTAATTATTGTTGAAAAACATACTTGGTTGAAAGATAGTAAGGGGACTAATCCCTGTGAAATTATTATTTCTGGCAAGCTGTCATTTTGAAGTAATCAACGAAAGAAGGCATTTCCAACGGTGCGTCTTAAGACGCACCGTAGAAAAACTTAAATTAGTAGTTCGTTTTGTTATTCGGCGAAGCGCGCGCAAGCATTGGCACGACGCACACGCACCCTCGGTTGCTATCATTCGTCGGATCAGTGCGTGACATCGCGTATAGCTGCAATTCAAAACAATTCAAAACATGATTCAGCAACTTTTGATTTGAAATTGAGATCCTAGAATGCTGTTTTTCTCTCGGAATATACAGCTGAAGCTGAGCTGAAACTTCATCAGGTTAGTTTTTCAGTATCCTTCATTAGATTTTGAACACTTTTATTGCTTCAAACGAACAAAATGCACAAATTACAAATGATGGACTAGGCCTATATCTTTAACACACACACGGTCGTTTTTTGCTATGCTTCCGAGGATTGGCTTTGTGTTTTCCTTTGTTCCCTGATCTAAACTTTTCCCATAGACTAAGCACACAAACCTGCGTTCGAGGACAATAGGCACCGTCGTTCGAGGATGAATGGCCCCTTTGTGCTCCTTTTGTTGTCGGTCCTCGAGCGTAATGCAATGCAGGAAAACACACACCCACACACCCACGCACCCACCCACACATACATAATATAGCGATATGTAAGTGATGCGCTGTCGCATGAAACAGAGAGGGCGCGTGTAATAAGAAACATTATTATTTGTACATGTAACACCATCCGAAAGTGGTGGGAATTACGTTTTTAAAAGATATTTTTGGGGTAACAAAATACGTGACTCGCGAGTCACGAGTCAGCGTCAAGTCTGAGTCATGATGGTGCAGTCCCAAGGGCGGATCCAGAACACAATTTTTTTGGGGGGGCAAAAACAAAATTTTGGTCCCCCGAAAAAGTGGGTCAAAAAAAATTACGGCGTTTTTTTTTATTCTAGATGCTCTTTGGTGCGATCTGAGGCAATTTCTGACCACTTTAGGCCAAAAAAAAAAAGTCTCCGGTTTCTGGTATGGAGCTTGCCCCAAAAGTGGTGCGGCGACGCGGCTTTTTTTTTTTTTTTTACCTGTTTTTTTTTTTTTTTTTGCTTCAAATGTCGGCTGATGACTGCAAATGGTGCCCGACTAAACTTAGTGCAAATATATGGGAGTCCAGAGAGGCCACATAAAGCTTATTCTCGATCATAACCCCATCTAAAAACACGTTAAAATTGTGCAGCAGCAGGATTCCAGTCAAACCAGTGAGTTTGGCGGTTTTAAGACATCATCTTGTATTGAAAAAAAAACTTTTTCATTTTGCCGACGCGCATGGCTGCGGCGACGCGCGCGCATACCAGAAACCGGAGACATTTTTTTTGCCTTAACCAATGTTTTTTTTTTGAGGAAAAGATGGTGGTGTACTCATTGCCTGCCTTTATTGCGATGTCACATAAAAATAAAAAAAAATTGGTTTCGTTTTTGGGGGACCATGTCCCCCTTTGGCCCCCCCCCCCCCGCCCCCCGGATCCGCCCTTGTGCAGTCCGAGTCTATAAGAGCGAGTCTCTTGCTGATGTGACTCGGAGTCGAGCCCGAGTCACTGAAATTGTAACTTGAGTCCGAGTCATGGACTTGAGTCCTACAACAATAACAATGATTGTAACTATATGACAATAATTGTAGATCAGCTAAAATTGTATGTATTTGTCAACAATATAAGATTTGAACAAATGTAGATATTTTAGTGTAAAGCTTTTTATCAAGTTTTTCGAAAAGATTTTGTGAAATTGAATTTGCTTTCTGTAGGCCTAATCATGGCATAGCTATAAAAAAAAGTGTTAAACTGTGGAGTTGAAATGTTATTGATTTTCGTTTGAGATTTTCTTCGATTAAATTACAATGTATCGCTAAATGTTCAAGCATTTGTTTTACTCGTATACCTGATATTGATAAACGTTTAACCTTTAAACTTTTGACGAAACATTGCAGAAGGGATAGTAAACATCAGAAAGCATCCTTACAACAATATACAAAATTATGTCGTACATGTAATCCCTTTTCCAACATATAATTGTTTTAAGTATGGAGATAGAAAAACATGTTCTCAACTTTGAATTACACATCCGAAACGAAGAGTAAGAGTAAATCAATGAAATGAATTCCCCTTATAATGTTTAAAAACTTTGCCAAAAAAGTCAGGGAAAGTGGCCAGAAGTCAATTGAGATTGTACCACAGAGAATCTAGAATCAAAAATCCTGCACCCACGCCCTCGCATAAGTCCTAGACGAACAAAATAATGTTCATACGCTGTAATTTCACCCTGACTAGAACACTGATTACATTTATATACGGAACACGGTGACCGTTTTTAGCCGATTTTCGGCTAACTTTGACAGATTTTTTTTTGTTAAAAAATGAGTTTGACAGACAATTTGACGGAGTAGATTTTTTTTGGCAGATTTCTGGCAGAATTCTGCACAACAAATTTGAAAAAAAATATATATTTCGTTAAAAAAGCTTCAATCTTTTCAAACAAACCCTTGATCATGGGCAGGTTGGCTTGTCTAGGTGCTGATGAGGTTCACTGGGAACCGGACCGCTGTCCGATGACGCAACCACGTTTTGCCTGAAATTTACGCAATTTCATAACAATCTTTATGTTACTGTAGATTGTTTATAAGTAATTTCAACCTTAATTAAGGCAATACTACAACATCTACATATGATTTTAAGTGTCTATAGTGTATTTCGAGTAATTCTGGGGAATTTGGCAGATTATTGATGAATTTGACAGATTTTTGGATTGCATTTAGCAGAATTTGGCCATGACCTTACGGTCACCCTGATACGGAACGACGTTATAACGCGCACATGAAAACGGATGGAGGCACATAATTAGATTATTAAGCATCAGTAATAATTTGCATGCTACTCGCACTTGTGAATATTCAAACAGCTTTCGCCGAATTCATCCATCTACTATCATCTGTTGCCATGACAAGATGAACAACTTAATTCCGTCAATATTAAATTAATAAACGCACAAACCGTACACAAAGGGCTTTGAAAATATAAGCAGGAATTGGCCACCTTTGTTCAAAATTCCTGGCTACGCTAGACTTGGAGCCAAGTCGGTAATTCGGGTAACAGGTTTAATACTGGCTCCGCGCACGCAATATCGTTGCAATGCGCGTAGTCTGGTTCCCAGACCAAATGATGCTGACTATTTCTGATAAAATTACCGACTTGGCGAAAACGTTTTGAATTTTTTACACAACATAAATATGCGAGTATTTTGAATCGCTAGCGAATTCTATGCGAGCACTCTGATTGGTTCAGATTCCAGAGTGTATTGTAGGCCGCCACGGATAGTACTTCGAGGGTTTGTACTTTGTGTTGTGTAACATTACAAATCGTCACCGACACCACGAAGTAACACTCTACCGTACGAAAGCCCTTTAGCGCCACTGCAAGTATATATGTTACAGATTATGTAATTCGTTATTACGGATTATGTAATTCGTTATTACGGATTATTAATTCGTTATTACGGATTATTAATTCGTTATTACGGATTATTTCATTCGTTATTACGGATTATTAATTCGTTATTACGGATTATTAATTCGTTATTACGGATTATTAATTCGTTATTACGGATTATTTAATTCGTTATTACGGATAATTTAATTCGTTAGTACGGATTATTAATTCGTTATTACGGATTACTAATTCGTTATTACGGATTATTAATTCGTCATAACGGATTATTAATTCGTTATTACGGATTATTAATTCGTTATTACGAATTATCAATTCGTTATTACGGATTATTAATTCGTTATTACGGATTATTTAATTCGTTATTACGGATTATTAATTCGTTATTACGGATTACTAATTCGTTATTACGTATCGTTATTGTTGTATGTTTCCCATTTACTTACTTAATACTTTCTGCAAACATATTACGCCTCATCTGCAACGGCACGCGGTATTAAATGCTATACATCTTGAGACTTAACTGGTATTTATCACGAGAAAGAAGACGTCAAGACCTAACACAGAAGTCTCAAACTTCAGAGAACATCATTGCATTGCACGGTAAGAACTTTACAAAACACTATTTGATTTCAAATCAGATAATTGTGTGTTTAGTGATAGATTTAACTTAGTGATGCCGCAACGGCTGGACTATATTCATGCGACGAAACGCCACTGCACTCCTCATAGGCCCCGCTTTAAGTTCACGAACATGCCATTGTTTTGGGGTATTACAAATTGTTATTGGCAAGTCAAGCTAAGTTTTACCAATCGAAGAGGGTAGTTGTTGTCGTTGTGTAACAATGTATCATGTTTAATTCATGTTTGAATATGGAACATCAACATGAAAATAAAACTACACATATATTTGTGGCCTCGCATCCAATGAGACTTAGTATGAAGTGTGATCATGATGTCAAAATGAAGGAACTCACATTTTTATCTCTAACA